ATTTGTCAAATAAAGGTTTGGAGAAGAATCACCAAAGTATCCTTTAACTAAAAAAGTCAGTGACCTTGTAAGTACTGACTGTCATGTAAAGCAAAATAAGAAGATTCTGATATTTCACAACATGCAGTGCCCAGACGAGTTAGGGCATGTCATGATTTATGATTTAATGCTCACTGGGAAGAAGTACAAGAGCTTGCTATGAGATGATCTTAGAAGGAGAGGAAGTAAAAATCTGCATGTTAAGCAGTGGAAGAAAGGCCAGGTGATCTACATCTGAAAAGTGCTGTTGAAAACCCTGTGGAGCACAGTTCTACCCTGACACATATTGGGTCACCATGAGTTGAAATTGACTCAAACGCAACTGGTTTTGGTATGCTTAAGGGAGTCCCTGGGCAGTGCAAATAGTTAATGCTCTCAGCTACTAACTGAAAGGTTGGAGGCTCAAGTCCACCCAGAGGCACCCTGGAAGAAAGATCTGGCGATCTACTTCTGAAAAATCAGCCATTGAACACCCTATGAAGCACAGTTCCAATGTGACACACATGGGGTCACTATGAGTCGGAATTGACTTGAAGGGAACCATTTTTTTTATTAGTTTGCTCAGGGTGGCTAGAAATTTTATACAAAGAAGGAAATGAGATCTCCTGTAATCGCCTGTTAGTAAACTACAGAATGTACCGAATACTGTTTTTAAATCATTTCAATGCCTTGTCCTTGGCATAGTGCATCACCTGCTTCTGCTGTCTCTGTACCCTGCCCTAGGTGGTAAGGTTTGAGATCTTTCCTTTTGGGCAGTTCCATCAAAAAGGGCAATGGGCTGGCGACACAGCAAAGTCAAAGTATATTTGAAAGGAAGAGAGAAGAAGCCCATATACATTTCAATGGAAATACTTTTAAGCCATTTTGAGGAGGAGTTTGAGAAATAATTACAAAGTCTGAAATAAAAGAATCTAAACTTTGATCTGATTTTTTTTTCCTGCAAAGCAATTAGGTAAATAATTTTTCAAGTGCCCAACAGAAAATTCTAATGACTGGACTCAACTGCTTTCCTTTGTTGTCTTGGGACTTGTATTCCTCCAAAAAAGTTTTTAAAAATTATTAATGTGCTTTTCCAGAGAGATTAGTGCATAAGGCATTTTCTGGTCAGCTGTCATAAAAACTACAGCAGCACAGAATGACTGAGATTAAGAGTTAGATTTAAATCATGCAAGAGTCCGGTTAATATCACAGCCTAATGGAGAAATCTGTAATGTTGATTAGATGGAATAAAATGTTATCAGGGTGTGATTGGAATTTTCTCTCTCAACTGTTGTTGGGAGTTTAAATGGGAATGTACCTCATATGGAGTTCTTGGGTGGGTAGTGCAAACAGTTAACACGTTCAGCTACTAACTGAAAGGTTGGAGGTTCAAGTCTACCTAGAGGTGCCTTGGAAGAAAGACCTGGTGATCTACTTCTGAAAAATCAGCCATTGAAAACCTTGCAGAGCACAGTTCTACTCTGACACACATGGTGTCTCCATGAGTTGGAGTCAATGCTACAGCAACTGGTTAGTTAATTAGTAGCCTGTATGGACTTTGGTATTCAGAGGACTAGTTTTCAAATAGAAATGGAGCTTCAAATTAGAGCACAGGTACAAAGTATCACATCTGAAGGGTAACAAAAGAGCCATGTATCTAAAACTAAATGTTGTGATAGATTAGGATCCGATGTTAGGTTGCATTTCTCTTTAATTCTTTTAAACCTGTGATCTGGCACAGTTCAGATATATAATTGCTAGACCGGTAGCTCCTTGAAGGCAAATAATAGGTATTCTTTTTTTGGGTTCCCAGTGCCTAGCACATGGATCTTAGCACAAAATAGATTGCTATTAAATATTTATGAAATCACAGAATGAAAATGCTTTGTTAATTTTTAAAAATTATTGCAGAGCATGGTGCCATGTTGTGGCATGTCTTCTCACCAATAATTAGCTTGGTTGACCACTTGTGCACCCGCTAGGAAGCACTGCAGAGGCAGCCCACAGGCAGAATTTGGTCAGGAGATACGTTTTGTTCAGCCTTCATGATATTTTACTTAAAAAAAAAAGAAAAAAAAATATATATATTCTAACCTTTAAAGTCAAGATACTCAAAAGAATTGAAAACAGAGACTCAAGCCAGTACTTGTACACCAATGTTCATTGTAGCATTATTCACCAGAGCCCAAATGTGGAAACAATCCAAGTGTCCGTCAACTGATGAATGGATAAACAAAACGTGGTATATGCGTACAATGGGACCTGAGCCATAAAGAGAAATGAAGTCCTGATACATATTATGACATGGATGAACCTTGGAAACATTATGCTGAGTGAAAGAAGCCAGACACAGAAGGACAGCTATTGTATGATTCCACTTACATGAAATATCTAGAATAGGCAAATGCTACAGATGGAAAGTTGATTAGTGGTTCCCTGGGGCTGGGGTCGGGGTTGGGGAGTTATTGTTGAAGGGGGTACCAATTTCTGCTTGGGGTGATGAAAAGTTTTGGAAATAGTGGTGCTTGTACAACCTTGTGAATATAACAAAGACCATGGAATTGTAAATTTAAAAATGGTTAAAATGGCAAATTGTATGTTATATGTATTTCACCACACACCCACACACACACACACAAAGTTGAGAAACTTCAGGATTACATAAAAATTTTGGATTTCTAGAGTATGTTTGAAAAAATCAGATATGACACTGCTCGGTGTGCAGCTCCACATGGTGACAATTAGCTGGGGCCCAGGAGCCACAGACCTCACTGGACTGGGCTTCTTCACAGTTGTCACCATTCTCTAGTAGGTGACAGGAGGCAGAATTCTCTTTTTCATTGACCAGCCTGATCTACAGCATAAAAACAAAAGCAAACCAAACATAACCAGTTGCTGTTGAGTTGATTCTGACTCATGGTGACTCCATGTGTGTCATAGTAAAACTGTGCTCCATAGAGTTTTCAATGACCGATTTTTGGAAAGTAAGGCACTAGACCTTTCTTCCTAGGTGCCACTGAGTGGACTCGAACCTCCAACCTTTCGGTCAGCAGCTGAATGCATTGCTGTTTGCACCATTCCAGGAGTCCTTGTCCACAGCATGGGACTCCAGGATTAGGAAGGAATATTTGGCATGTATTTCTATCACTGTTGCATTTGAATTAGTTAATAATTGAAGTGTGAGCTTAATTGCTGCTCCCAGTCCCACAGAAGGAGAAGGGGAGACCAAGTCCTAGGCTTGGAGTGAATCTGTGATTTGCAAGCTCCTCCCTCTTTAGTGTGGCTTCATCGGGAATCAGAGCAAGATCCAGTCACTAAATAACCCTAATGATATCAGGTAGGAGCTCATCAGGGAGTTGTTTAAGAGTTTGTCAGAGCATATTAAAATATAATACATTTACGTAATCAAAAAGCATACATTAGTCCATCTGCCTATACTTTCCCTTCCGATATTAAATTTGTCCAGGGACTTTTTAAAATTACATCACCTACCCATGCCCCTTTCCTTAGCACACAGAAATGTGGGGAAAAAAAAAAAAAAAAAACGGAGAGCAAATCAGAATAATGCACACTGGTGAAAGTTATAATTGAAATCATTATTGCTTAAGACACCATTGCTTTAATCAGCTCTATCATAAATCAATGCTTTTCCACAAGTGAAGGTTTAAAATAAAGTGCTGTTAAACAAATTGGGCCTCTTAAAAGGCATGATGCAATCGGGAAGCGCCTGAAAATGGATAAAAAAGTGCTTTCTGAAAGGATACACTGATTTTAGCATTTTATCTTCCACTTAATTTAAAAAAAAAATATTACCTGGTCCTTTCTTAGAAATTACATATTGGAGGTCTGTAATGGCCAAGCCTTTAACCCATTAAAAAAATTGACTCCCAGGAACAGTTAATATTTGACGTTTAATTGCTTTTTCTTGTTGGAGAGGAAAATCTGTGTCTTCCCTTCCTTTCCTGATTGACTTTTCAAAGACCACCTTGTGAGCTATAAAGATGGAGAGGAGTAATTGATTTTCAAAAACTCAAGTGCACACACACCCGTATGTGTGTATGTGTGTGTGTGCGTGTGTGTGTGCGCATGCGTGCATAAATCTCTCGTGTGCCAGGTGCCGGTATGTCTCTCACAATAATTCTGCAAGGTGGATGTTATTATCTCCACTGAACAGATTGGGCATCTGAGGCCCAGAGAGGTTAAGCACTTGTGTAGGGTCACACAGGTAGTAAGGGATGGGAGGCTGTCTTTATTTCTTCCACTATGTTGCTTGCCTCTAGGCATGCTTCCTGCCCAGGGGTAGAGACGTCGATGGAGTCAGGACAAAGCACCATCGTTGGAGCCACTAATCCTCTCAGCCCCCTTAGCAAGCACCAGATTCTGGCATTTAGCAGATAATGCCACAGCATCCACAAGCAGAGAAAGAGCCCAACTATGATGAATACGCCATTGTAACTAAGACACAAGAAGCAACTGAACCAGCTTATAAGTGATATCAACTGAGAAGGGATTTCTCATTAAAGAGTTTTGTGTGGATGAACAGGGAGTTCAGAAATTTTCTTATTAGAACAATTAGAACAATTCCCATATGGACTTCAAATGAATTATGGGAGCTCCTCAGGGCTTGTTTCAAGAGAAAGAGGGGACCAGCAGGGCATTGGTGTGGTAAGGGTAGTCTGGAGTTAGAAAACTTCCATTTCGACACTGTCAACCCCCATGTTTCACATGTAGTAAATTCGCTACCAAAGCTGACATGTTCTTTTTCTTTCTTTTTCTCTTCCCACAAAATCAGGTATTCTTTAGGTCCCTTGAAAAGCTACACAAACCAACTGTTCCTCCTCAGATTATCCCTTTCAGAGCTCAGGTGATATGGCTCATTGGGTTACAGCTTCCATGCTTTGTGGTTAGATGTGGGCTGTGCCATTCTACATTATTCCACCCTGCAAGAAAATATTTATATACTGGCCTTACGCCCTTACCAGTTCCCATTCCCTCTGGGAATGGTCCTGTGTGCACTGTCTTCACGCCTGTCGTGGGCAGTTGAATTGCTAGTCTTCATGGTATCACTGGACATCTGGCAGAAAAAGAGGAAACTGCTCGTTCCGCTTTGTGACTTCACTTAGCTGGAAAACTGTGAGGGGTAGGATGAAAAGTTCTAAGAGACTGAGTGCAATATTTTGAGGAAGTGATTGGAAGGAGACTGGCTGATGTTGAGGGAATAGAAATTTATACCATTCAAAGGATTTTTTTTCCTCTCTAGATCTGGAAACATGAAAGCTTACTTGTACTCAGTGTTTGTGTATATGTGTGTGTGTGTGTTTTAAATTCTCCTTTGCTTTTTCTTTTATTATTAGCCATGGAGTGGTGAAACCGACATTCCTGTCTTGCTGTGATAGAGCATGTCATCAAATCCCTTATAGAAAGTCATGTGGCAGTGTGTATCAAGAACCACACAAGTGTTTACAACCCTTACAAATAATTTCACCTCTGAGAATTCATTCTCAGTTCTGCAAAGGTAATGCTCGAAGATGTTCATCGAACTATTGTTTACGGTAGTTAGAATCTAAACGTTTGACAATAGGAGAAATGAAACGATGAAACAACTACTATGGAGTGTCATAGATAGCTACGAGAACTATGTAGCAATGTGGGAATATGGTATGCACTCCCAATGATTGCACGTATGTAGACAAAATACGCATAATAACAGGTGAGATTTATTGTCTACCGCATATATGATGAGAACTGGGCCAAGTGCTTTAACTGCATTTTTATTTAAGCTATACACCAACTTTGTGAGGTAGTATTATTATATCTCCATTTTACAGGTGAGAAAAGAGAGGCTTTTCTCACCTGTAAAATGGAGATATAATTGTAGCTTTAAGTGATTTATCTTAAGACAAGTCTTAAGATTTGAACCCCGTCTTGGTTGACTCCTAATTTGTGATTCCTTATAATATAAAGTCAGTGTTAAGTAAAAAACACCAACAAACAAAAATATGAGAAGCTCTACTCTTATAATGATCTATAAAAAAATAGAGCAGCTTAGACCAACAGAGAGTAGCCGAAGTTATCCGCAACAGTTAATAAAATGACGGGCAGCTATCCCAAGCAACGCTTAAATGTTTTAAGGCCTTTTCTTTGGGTGAGAATTCAGTACTCTATGTAGGGGCATTTATTAAGAAAATATGATTAATATTAAAATTCTGAAAACTTAAGGAAGGTCCAAAGGAGCAGGTCTTGGAGGAAGGTGGAAAAGACATTCTCCAGATTCACTGGAGAATTTTCTTATCCACTGGGGCCTAAGCTCTTGGTTCTTACGTATGTGAGAATGAATTTGAAAATATTAACATAGTACATGGTCTCTCTCTCTCTCTAGAAAAACACATTTTACAAAAAACTCAATGTTTTCACAGACCCCTTAGAAGCTCCTTGAAGACCCCTAGATTAAGAATCTAGAATGTCTGTTTACTTTTATTCCAGGACATTTGAAATCTTTTAGGTTCACTGCTGATTTGAGGATTTAAATGAAAATCTCCCTTTTTGTTTTGGTTTGCAGAATGTTCCTCGCACCACAGCTTGGGGAGTGTTCTGTGTCGCCACACCTGGGCAGGAAGCACACCTTTGCTAACAGCTCAAGCACTAATACAGTTTCTTCAGAGTGCAGCCTACACTTGGATAACTAAGGTTTGTAAAGTCAGTAAATATAATGACCAATTTAGTTTCAATATTGTCTTTAATATGGTAGCATCTTATTATGGGCACTTGTATTTAGATGCATGGCTAACAGCTGCCTTCTGCATTTTCCGTGTTAGGGTGAAAAAAATGCATGCTATACATCACCAGGAATAAAAGGTGGCGCCTGGCCCTGTAATTGACTCTCTAACAAAGAGAAAAGCTTTGCAATGTGAGTGCACAACATTATGAGGGCTTTTCTTACCACACCTGCAGAAATGCACTTTCATTAAACACATGTGTGTTAAGTGAACGTGCATAAGGCGTAGTACTGGATGGATGGGAAGAACGGGTGGAGGCTGCCTTTGTAGGAGATTTGTCAAGGACTCTAAAGCGCTGAGGTTTGAAGTGCTCAGGCAGCATCCTGGCACTGCCGTGCTGCTTCTAAGAGAACAGCTAGGGCATGATTTCATTCTGTGAAATATTTTCATCATCAGGAAGAAGAAAGTTATTTTTACCATTTCTGTTTTCGGAGGGTGAAAAATTTTTTCAGGTACACATCAGAAAAGGCTTTACATGCGTTCTCCCCCTCCTATTCAGGATTGTGCAACAAGAAGACACAGAAGCCACGTTAAGAGGTCACTGGTCCATCTACTCTAGGAACTTCCCTTCGGCAATGGTCTGTGCCTATGTTACAGAAGACAGCAAAAATACGCTCCATTGTGCATCTGGCCAATTATGCAACGCTCTATCACGGGGAAATTCCTTCCTCACCCCAGCTGGTGAACAGTTATGCCCTGGAGCCTGGGGACGGACATGCCTTGTAACTTTTTAACCTAGTTAGTGTAACTGCCAATATTATTCCTATTCATATAAATGTCTAATCCTTTCTTGAATCTTGCTAGACTATTCGCCTCAATAATATCCTACGGCAATGAATTCCACAGGTAGATTACACGCTGCTTTAAAAAGTATGTCCTTTTATTCATTTTAAATTTGTTGCATTTTAACGTCACAAGCTAGCCCTTGTTCTTGCATTAAGTGACACAGGATACAAGCATTTTAAATTGAGCTTTCTTTCAAATTGAGCTTCCAGACACTTTCTTTGCCATTACTGATAGCCCATCTCTTTCCTCTATTTTCTATTTGGCACACGTTATAAAGATTAAACTACATTTGTAGAAACCCTGTCATACTATTTTGGACACATAGAAAGTAGGCACTGGAAAAACAAGTTCTCCTTGAGAGTCAATGTCATTCATTGAACAAATATTTACTGAGAATCTACTATGGGCAGGAATTGTTCTAGGTATTGGAAAGACAGCCTTGAATAAGACAAGGTTCTTGCTCTGAAGGACCTAATTTTCTTGAGAGGGAATACCAGCGGTAAACAAGTGAACAGATGCATCAATGACATGGTTTCAGATAGTATTCAACACTATGGGAAAATTGGGAAAGAATGACTGGGAAAGGGTGCTGGGGGCCACTTTAGATTGTGTAGTCAAGGAGTGGTTTTCTGAAAAGGGACAGTTGAAATTGACCATTAGGGAGTGGAATCTTTATGGAGGTGAATTCCAGCCCCTGGAACAGTGTCCAGCACTGGTCAAGCTCAGGAGTCCCTGGGTAGTGCAAGGGGTTAAGCGCTCGACTACTAGCGGAAAAGTTGGTGGATGGAACACGCTCAAAGGTCTCTAGAAAGACAGGACTGGGAATCTGCTTCTGAAAGTTCCCATCTTGAAAACCCTCAGGAGCAGTTCTACTCTGCACACGTGGGGTCGCCATGAGTTGGAATTGACTTGACCGCAATTATCAACAACAGTCAAGGCTCAATCATTATTTGTTGACTGACTGAATGAATCACTCAAGGTTCAGAATGGAAAACTTAGTTGTAGAACTCATCCAGTTGGTTACTCTTAGAACAAAAACTAACATTTCTTGAGTCCCCTTGATCTGTGACTCTTTTAGTGTAGAAAAACAAAGGATTTTGTTAGTTAGACTGGGGTTTCAAGACCTGCTTCTGCCCCCAACTAACCAGCTGTATGACCATAGGCAAGTGGCCTAATGTCCCTGATCCAAAGTCTGTCGGGTTTGGAGGAACGGAGGTAAAGTTATGAGGAAGTGTTTTCTAAACTGCACAGTGGTGTAGAAATGGTGGTTATTCTTTCGAAAATCATTTGTTCTCTGCATCCTTCCCTCTGCCTTTGGTCTTTCATTCTGTCCTCCCTCCCTTTCTTGTTTTCTCTCTTCTGTATCTGACCTCTGCCTCTGCCTAAGGCTCACCGGTGGCATCCATGGCACTTAGCTTATTGTGTGACTGGCAGGCCACAGAGGAAGCTGAAGCAGGGTGAGTTTACCTTGCTGACATCCTGGTCTATTTCTTAAAGGACTTTAAAAATTGAATCAAATGGAGCCGCCGCTTGTTGATACAGTGGGCTGGATGTGTATTTCGAATAACGATTGTTTGCTTTTATTTTCTTTACTGCTTACTCTTCTGGGGTCAGGTTAACCAAACTTCTAGATATACACTCAGAGTCCTTGCCTGAATTATTGAGGGAATCTTCCACCAGAAACCGAGACTTTGGTTGCAGTGGTCTGATTACCTGCCTTTTGCTTTCCTCTGTGTTCCGGCACGACAGGCAGATGCCGTTCCCTCCCTTGTTATGCTTTTTAATTGCCCCTGAATGTTTTTCTTTTCCTATTTAGGCAGTTTGAAATAGAGGCATGTGCAGCTCTGCATAATAATGTATTTTAAAGGCATTTCAAGGAATAAATTGTTAGAATTGTTTACACGCATGGTTCAAATTTACTGGCAAATTGCTCAAGCCTCGGTTTTATGATGGCGCTGCCAACCAGGCTCCCTCTGGTTAAAAGGCTGCAACGGGAGAAGTTTCGCTTTGGTATCGCTCACCAACACTTCCTTTGCCTTGTTCCCTCCCTTTCAACACCTCCCTCCTTTCCTGCCCCCAAATAACTCTTGGAGCTGCTAGACCTTTTACACCTTCATGTGAAGACATTTCATGGGTCCCCCCTCAAACCAGCCCCCAACAAAGGTGAGGTGTGCAAAGGAATAAATCTTCAATGGTGTAATTTTAGACACTGTGGCAACTGGGAAGGGCAGCTATTTTTGGCCGTGGGCTTTCTCCTTGACCTGAGATGGTACTGCTTGCCTGCTGCGAGTGTGCTAGGTCAACCCTGCACATGGCCTTTTTAGCCACGTGTTTGCCATTCCTGGGGGTTGCTTCTTCGTTTCTCTGCTGAGCCCTTCCCTGCCTGCATAGAATTCTGTGCATTGGTTCAAGGGCATGGACTTGCCAAGGTGCACCCACCTGGGGCGGCTTGTCACAGACTGACATTTTGAGGTGGTGGCATAGGCTTCCCCTGAGGGGCAGCACAGAAGGAATGGATTCCCTTCCACATAAGGGCGGGAGGAAATTTCTGGTCCTGTCTTTTCATCTACCCCAGCCTCCATGCTTTATCAGCTGCTGCTCAGTCAGCAACCTTTCGGTGAGTCACTCCCTCTCTGAGAAAGACCAGCCAGGCAATCTCCAGGTCTCCAGGCCCTAGGCCCCACCTACACTGCCTCATTTGAAGCTGCACCTCAGGGCATCCTCACAGCCATCCTTCTGACCACCCTGCTTTCTGTTTTCCCACTCAAGCTCCTGATGCAGCTGCTGTCTGCAGACCCCCTGCTCCGCCCGGGAAGTGAGTCGGAACTCCTGCAGCAGAAGGGCGGAACAGCTACAAGAAGATCCGTAGGTGGCCAAAAATAACAGTGTTTTCCAGATGAGGGTAATATTATAGCCAAGATCATCACCGGGGTAGGATATCTTGTTCTTAGTTTTACAACCTTAAAAGTACACAGATGACTCGAAGATGATTCAGGAAGGAGGAATTAAGTTAGTCAAGAAAAGGAAAATGGTAACAGTACCAAAACAGAAATCAAAGTTCTTTATGTCAAAAGAAAGGGAGGCATTGGTAGCTCGGTGGTAAATTCTTGCCTTCCGTCTAGGAGATCCAGGTTAGATTCCTGGCCAACGCACCTTATGCACAGCTACCACCTGTCTGTCAGTAAAGGCTTGCGTGTTGCTGTGATGCTGAACAGATTCCAGCAGAGCTTCTAGACTAAGATGAACTTGGAAGAAGGGCCTGGTGATCTACTTCCGAAAATCAGCTAATGAAAATCCTATGGATCACAATGGTGGGATCCACAACCGATCATGGGGATGGTGCAGGACTGGGCAGCATTTTGTTCTGTTGTGCATGGGGTCACCTTGAGTCAGGTTCAGCTTGGGTGGCAGCTATCAACACAAACATGCCAAAGGAGAAAAAAAAGAGACCTTTTAAAGGTATAGAGAGAGCTCTGACTCTCTGGATGTTAGCTCTCTCTTCTACAACTTCCCTGGCCATAAAAACAAGCAAACAAACAAATGAAAAAAACCCACCCAGTTGTCACTGAGTTAACTCTGACTCATGGTGACCGCATGTATGCTAGAGTAGAACTGTGCTCTATAGGGTGTTCAGTGGCCATAGAAAGGGGGAGGGAATTCTGGATTTGCAGAAAGAGAGGCTAGGATATAAGGAGAGACAGACCATGGAGCAGAAGATAATGAGAGATAAGAAAAAAGGAAGAAAAAATCAAGAGACCATGCTGCCTTCCCTCATCTGCTGTTGAGTTAAGTTTAACAATTATTTGTTGAAAACCAACTATGTCTGCTCTAGTTATCTATTTCTGCATGACAAACTATCTCAAAATTTTGTGGCTTAAACCCATAACAATCATTTTATTATTATCTGTCATGATTCTGAGGTTTGGTTGGGCTCAGCAGGCTGGTTCTCACTCAGCCTTTCCACAGATGAGGCCTGACTGTGGCCAAGGCTGGAGTCCTCACAAAGCCTTCCTTACTCCCATGTGGAAAGGTGATGCTGGTTGTTACTGCAACCTCAGCTGAGGATGTCAGCTGGATGCCTGCACGCAATCATTCCATGTGATCTGAGCTTCTTCCCAGCATGGCAGCCTTGAGATTCTTATGTGGCAATCCAGGGCTCAAAGATGTGTGGCCCAAGAGAACAAGGTAGAAGCTGAGCCACCCTTTTTGGCCTAGGCAAGTCATATACTTTATTGGTTGACCAGTCACTCAGATCAGCTTATATTCAAGAGAGGTACATGGACCCCTCCTCTGTGTTTAGGAAGATTGAAGAACTTGCATGAGTCCTCAAGTAGTGCAATGGTCAATGGGCTAGCTGCTAACTGAAAGGTTGGAGGTTTGAGTCCACCTAGAGGCACCTTGGAAAAAAAGGCCTGGCAATTTACTTCAAAAAAATCAATCACTGAAAACCTTACGGCGCACAGTTTTACTCTGACACGCATGGTGTGACATGAGTTGGATTGATTTGATAGCACCTTTTTTTTTTTAAAAAAAAAAAAAGAAAATAACTTGTGGACCTGTCTTCAAACTGCTAAAACATCCAGTCATGATGTCAGCCCTTTATACTCTACCTCTCATCCTCCAGAAGCTTCCAACATAGTTGGAGCTATAAAAGCCAACTAAGTATTCAGTGAAAAATAGTGACATATCCATTCACCAGATGAGGGCAGTTATAAGAGAGCGTGCACCAGGTGAGCGCAAGAGGAACACCTGCGGGCATGGAGGGCCTAGGCAGAGTGTGGTTTGGAAGACCTGTGGCCACTGATCTTTAGGAGATCATCAAAGGCAAATAGGATGGCAGTGCCTTGCGTTCTGTATATCTTCAAGTGGATATTCTTGTTAACTTTATTTAAGCCTGTATGTTTGTTCTCAATAAATATTTTATTGTTACTGTCTTCCCCTCCCCTGTCCCCCATAGGCCCCACCAACCATCCTTTCTTTCAACTACATTATTCTGCTGTGGTTCTAAAACACTCCCCATCCCTTTATCTTGCTTTCTCTTTTTTGGTGCATGAAAATAACTTAACTCCCATTTCCATTACTGAATTTGCTACTCCACTGCTATTGTTCAAACTGATGAAGTGGGCCTTTCCTTGGTCCATTCCTCAGCTGATTGCTTGAAATATGTATTTTCAATTTGGTTTTCTCCTTTATGACCATAACCTCTTTCCTGCTAAAATAATATCTTATATTCCATGTGTTTAATGCCCTTCTTCTCTGCTCTGTCTTGTCTTATCCTAGAACCCAATAACACAGCAAAATGTCATAGGACCACAAGCCCTGGTGGGCTCAACATCCAGCTTCTCCACCAGATACAGCTTTGACATCTTCATGGTGAGAACTTGCTCTACACTCAATGACTCCCAGGTGGAATTTGCCATTTAAGCTCTTAATCCTTCTTTGGGTAAGCTTTTCCTACATTCCATCATCACTACTGATACTTTTTCTCTTCATCTGAACCTTTCGTATACAAATTCACTTTTTAATCTCCATTTATGTTGGGCCACTTTTTTCCCCTTAATACAAAAGTGCTACATGTCCCGTTTTTGCTCGTTAGTTGCCATTGAGTCAGCTCCAACTTATAATGACTCCATGTACAACAGAATGAAACGTTCCCTAGTCCTACGTTATCATCATGATCGTTGGTATGCTCCAGTCCATTGTTGCAGACACTATATTTGAGTCTCTTCCAATCTAGGGGTTTTATCTTCCAGCACTATATTGGACAATATTCTGTTCTGATCCATAGAGTTTTCATTAGCTAATTTTTGAAAGTAGATCACCAGGTCTTTCTTCATAGTCGAGCTTAGTCTGGAAGCTTCACTGAAACCTGCCCACCGTGGATGACCCTGTTGGTATTTGAAATACAGGTGGAAGAACTTCCAGCATCAAGGCAACATGCAAGCCACCACAGTATGACAAATTGACAGATGGGTGGTAGCATCCACTGTAGAAAATTTAAAATACATAGAGAAGCAAAAATAAGATAACAAACATGGATATAAGCATTATTAATACCTTGACGTGGGTCCTTCCCATCTTTTTTCTCTGTATTTATATTTTTTTGTACAAAAAATGGGATCATCATTTAGAAGCTCAGTGCTTCCCTCCAACCCACTTTCTCTTTTACAGAACCAGCTCTTTCATAACCCTAAACCCCTGGCCCTAGCTGATGGGACCAGGGTGGACATGTGGTCCCAGCTGTGTCAGGGCATACTACTTCCTTGGAATTAAATCAGATGGTGTCAGGAAATGGAGCTGTAGTATCACACTGAGCTGGGATTAGAATTTGCATCTTGCAACATAAAGCTTTGCTGGGGAATTTGGTTTGCAAGAGGCGAGTCGAAGAGACAAAGAGTGAGAAGCAGAGACAGAGAGGACAGGGTTTTAGGGCAGAGTCTCCTTGCATCCTGACACTTTTTGGAGTGACTTTTGTGGGATAGCCCTCTATCTTGACCTCAAATCCTTCTCTGGGAGATTCTGATATTTCCATCCAACAACACCTGCACAGGATGACCCTTTTTTGTAATCTGCACTTTTCGGTTAATGATATTCTATATTATCGTATATTCTTATAGATTATAATAGTGGTCACTGCAGAGTGATTGCAGTGGGTGTACCAACATTTATGGGAGAAGAAGTGGAGCATACTTCTTGAGGCCTGGTGTTAAATAGTACAGATTTCAAATGCCTGCCCTGACACTTGTTTGCAGTGTGATTTGGGAAAATTATTTAAACATCCAATGTCTCAGTTTCCTCATGTGTAAAATGGACATAACAATGTGATCGAATGGCATAATAAATCTAAAGTTTCTAGCACACTATCACATATATGGTAAGGGTTCAGTAGATTTTAGCTATCATTAATAATTATTAATAATTATTAATGTTATAATTAATTATAATTATCATTAATAATCATGGACCCCTGGTGGCACAATGGTTAAGAGCTTAGCTGCTAACCAAAAGTTGGCAATTTGAATCCACCAGCCACTCCTTGGAAATCCTATGGGGCAGTTCTACTCTGTCCTATAGGGTTAGTATGAGTAGGAATTGACTGATGGCCACGGGTTTGGTTTGGTTTGGGGTATTAATAATCATTAAGCCGGTCCACTGTTACAGCTTACTGAAGAGCTCCCCTTTTTTTGCAACATTGTAAACACAGTTGCAATGAACATCGTAAACAAAGTTGCAATGAACATCCTTATAGTCAAATGTTTGTGCGTGACAATTCCTTGATATAAATTCCTAAAAGTTACATCATTAGATCAAAGAGTATGGACATTTTAAAAAGTTTTTTTTAAAAAATGTACTGCCATTGCTCTCTCCAGATCTTCTAATTTGTTTACAACCCCAGCCTTTACCATAGTCTTCTCCTTGACTGCAGTTTCAGTAGTGAAGTACTAAAGGCAACAACATGTCTTCTTCTGTGTCCAGGATATGGCCTATGACCACCTTCCAACAAAATTAAAGCAATGTCACCTTTGACATTTGAGTGGGTGCTCTTCAAGGTAGATTTACTTTATACATTTAGTTATTCACTCATACGTCAGGTGTAGATACAGTTTATATATAGATTAGGTGTATATACTAGGTATGTATTTTGAGAGCTGACTCCAGTGTTGCTAACCATGGAGTGGGCTTTGGACACACTGTAGGAATAATTCTATACAATTCTAAGAAAGTCAGGTAGTGATTAAGGCTTACAAAATCTATAAGATTTTTAAAATTGTTTCTAAAAATTAAATTTGTCTAAATTCTCTATTTCTCTAGAAATAGGGACATTTGGAATATGAAAATCTTTATTCCTTAAGTTCAGAAAATATAAAATTAACAAAGCCATTTTCTTGCTTAGAATTTAGTAACCAGATATTTTCCCCCTACCTGGAATGACCTCCCATCTGCAGACTCTACCCTGGCTTCAAGGCTCAGGAAAGTATCAGTATGAAATTCCTGGAGATGCTTCTATGAGCCACCAAATGTTCTGGGCACCGGGGAAGACAAACGATAATGCAGTC